GTTTTTATTATCAATTTTAGTACTGCACAAGTATGGGTCTACTGCACGTTAAAATAAACCCTGCAAGCTAGTTCATTAAGGATACCATGTTGTTTTTATGTTATTAATGATACGACAGCTGCAAAATAAAGCAACTTATAGATCGCAAATCCTGCGGTTTGTAAGAAGTTAGTTAAGTCTCTTTCAAACTTAAGGAAACTGAATTAGAAACTAGGACAGAGGATCTCATAAATTCGATTATAACTCTGCTTGATATGTTTCTTGTGTTGTAACTCTACCTATTGGGATTCTTACATTATAACTCTCTCCGTTGAATTCCTTACATTATAACTCTATTTAATATGTTTATTACATTGTAACTCTGTTGAGATTCTTACAATATAATTCCGTCTGTTGAGTTTCTTACATGATAACTCTATCCGTAGTTTAGTTTCTTACATTATAACTCTCTCTCTCGTTATAATGTAAGAAACTAAACTACAGATAGAGTTATAATGTAAGAAACTAAACTACAGAGAGAGAATTATAATGCAAGAAACTAAACTACAGATAGATTTATAATGTAAGAAACTAAACTACAGATAGAGTTATAATGTAAGAAACTAAACTACAGATAGACCCGCTTTGAAAAAGTTTGGTGACCCGTGCTCTAGTCTATCACTTCAACATTAAGGACGGCTAGCCCAGATAGTCCTCGAGTAGCTTTGCGCGAAATTCCAAAGACAAACAAACAAAAGTTATCCCCCAAAGAAGCTTGTTCGAGTTAGCTAGATGATAACGTGGTATACTGTCAAAACCTACCATTTAAGTATAGCGATAACTTATGTTTTGTAATATGTCCGTATATGCTGAGAAATAGTTGTTGATGGAAAGTGTCTATCGCACTTTTATCCCACTTTGTGTGTGTGTGTGTGTATGCAATACCGTTTATAGTCCTATAAAAATCATTTGGATAAAGTGTTCCTCGTTTATAATATTTCAGACTTAATTTGTTTTCACACTCGTTGATTTATGCACCATTAAAAATATAATTACATAGCCACTATTACATATTTACAACAAAAGAAAGTTTACGATTATATGCTTATTTGTAATACATGTGTGACAATTCTCACCTTAATGGACTCCCCAGGAAAGATGTGTGAGCAAAGGTCTTGTATTATACCAGTTTTCCAAATATTTTGAGTTCCGTTTTGTCTTTGTTCTATTTCGTCCATATCTGAAGTCCAAAGGGTAATTTCATTAGTTTGTCCAACAACGACAAGTGATAGTGTGGCGCCATCTACTGTTATATATTCGAAACGGACTATCACAGGCATCATGGTTGTTTTAAATAAAGGACTTTCCAGCTGAATTTGTTTCGTTGGCCAAGATTCATTTTTAAACGATTCGTTCTTTTCCACGTGAGCAACAATAAATGGAAATCCTAGTGTACAACAAAGCAACGTAGGTTAGAGTATTCATCAGTTAACATTTCTCAATAAAATTTGTTTACAAGATCCGATAAGATTTTATCTTTATGCTGATTACTTCATGTACGGCTTCTAACCACATAATAGAAATATATTTAATAATTTTGAGATTATTTGAGCATTGTATCGTTGCAGGTAAATATGAATATAGCGTGTTATAAAAATAAAACAAATCAACAAGAAATCGAGACAATTGGATTCGCGCTTGAACGGATTTACTTACGCTCCAATAGGTGGCAGTAAGATTGATGTTTATTGTTTGTTTGTAATTTAGCACAAAGCTACACAATGGGCTATCTGTGCTCTGCCCACCACGAGTATCGAAACCCGATTCTAGCGTTGTAAGTCCGCAGACATACCGCTGTGCCACTGAGGGGCTTGATGTTTATTATTAACCACAAAGTTACACAAAGGGATCTGTCTTCTGGCCACCACGGGTATCGAAACCCGGTTTCTAGCGATATAAGCAAACATTCCGCTGTGGTAATGTGGGACCAGCCAGATGGAAATTATTAACTTGTTTTCACAGGATTTTTTTTTATACTGTTCAATGCGTTTTGTTCCAAAAAAAAACAAAACAAAAACTAACGTTATGTTTATGCATCTACCCTTAATAGCCGCAGTTTTGGGGCTAAAACCACTGTCTAATGGTTTGGAAATTCTACTCTTATTCATATTTGCTTTCGACTTAATTTTAAGGTGAAGAATTCTACTACCCATTACATCTTGAGCAACTCTTAGTTCGAAACAATGTACTCAGTGTAATACTTATAATATGGTGAAATTAATATTACTAGGGTATCAAACACGTCACTGTTGTTAAGATGTAAGTGAAACAGGTGTTCTGCCTCATTCTTGCAGCACTAAGCTGTCGAACATGTTTCCTAGTAAAGCGAGTTAAGTTTGAGTGTTTCTAAAATACTTGTGTTCTAGTTTAACTGATTAAATTCTGTTCTGTTGTGTTTATTCTAATCAAGATACTGAATCTAAACGGCCTGGTGAATAGAACACTCGACTTGCAATCTGAGGCTCGACAGTTCAGCGCTGTGGGCGTTATCATGTTACGGTGAATCCCACTCTTTGTTGGTAAAAGAGTTGGCAGTGAGTGGTTTTGACTAGCTGCCTTCCCTCTAGTCTATCACTGTTAAAGTAGGGACGGCTAGGGATCTATTAATATTTTGAAAGCAGGGTTGGCAAGTCGTTCAATTGACTGGTCAAATAATGTTAAATGACCAGTCAATTGGCAGCTTATTTTTTTGACTAATCAAAAACTGACCGAATACGGTAAGATAACCTAAAACTTGTAAAAAAATTCGAAAATACTCGCGTATTAATTTTCAAGTCCCAAGCCTCCCTTCTGCCTATAGGCGAATCTTGGAATTACACCACAACTAAATAACTTCAAAATGACTGAATGTTCATTTCAAACAATAAATAAACTGTACCCATTGTGTCATATCGTAATATTTCTTACCTCTTTACATATTTTGTAAATGTTATATGCATATTCATATTATATGATGAATGAGTTAAAATGGATCCCTACTCTTCTTCAAATAAAACGCTCATGGACGAATGATGTTATATTATGCCGTATTACAATACCCTTCAGTTTTATGCAACCAACAGCTATGCTTTTTCTAAACGTACAATGTAATATTGTAAAAATGGTATATTATTAAAAACAGATAATTAATCGGTATAATGAATGGTAATATTACATATTTATGGTACAAAACCTCAAAATGGCGACGCTGTATGCAGCACTTCAGCTTTGTTGTTGTCGAAAGGCTGGAGATGAACCATAAAATGGTTCCTTTTCATGTATTTTACGTTTTATACATTAAATTAAGTAAAATTCAATATATGTAATTAAAATAAAAACAATAAATAAAATAAAAGTTTTGAAACGGTTTTTGAGACTGGGTAATGAAATTTTTTTTATTACAACTGTACAACGTTTCGACAAGATTTTGTCATTCTCAGGTACAAGTATTTTACAGAGATATATACAATATAGAACAAGAGATCACATGAAAGGATATTGCTTCACAGTCTTGGTATCTTGGTAGTCCGGGGTGTTGATTTAGGGTGATGGCTGTTTTCTTCAATTAAGATAGCTTCTTTTATTTTTACGTTTATTCATGTTGGGTTCTTTGTTTAAAATTACAGTGTTTTGAATGGATACACTGTGGTTTTTTGAGTTGCTATAGTGGTAAACATGGGAGTTTTTTTTTATTATGTTCAGTGAATCTTGTTTCTAATATTCTACCTGTTTCTGTGGTGTACAATTCTGGACAGTTATTGCTTGTTATTTTATAAATGATGTTGTAATTGTGTGATTGTATGTAATTTTTATTTAATAATGATTTTAGTTTAGTGCCAGGTTTTTGGGTGAATTTGACGTCAACAGAAATTTTATGTTTGATGGTAAGTTTTCTCCAAGTGTTGACTATTTTTGAGTTGATGTCAGGGATAAATAGTAAACTGCCCCCATTGGCACGGCGGTAAGTCTGCGGACTTACAACGCTAGAAACCGGGTTTCGATACCGTGGCGGGCAGAGCACAAATAGCCCATTGTGTAGCTTTGTGCTTAATTACAAAACAAACAAATGGTAAACCGCAATGTCATGCACTCAAGCATAGGAACAAAAAGTTATGATAACGTTAACAACTGATACGTGTAAAATAGATTAACACAACGGAACATAAAATTTACAAAGATAAAAGGCCATTCATTCAATACTATGAACAAAACATAACTGTGATAGTTGTTCGTATGTAAGGCAGACAAACATAATACCCATCCGTACATGGGAAATAATATCATTATTATTCTCAACTTTCTTTAACGCAAACTGGAGTTTATTATGAGACATTTCTATAAACGTAAATAAAATTACGACCCATATCTCCAGAATGTAACTTTATTAGCTCAATATTTCGCTAATAAAGCTTCGTCAGGTAGCTATCGATATCCTACGAGTTCACTAATCCTGTTAAATCTAAATTGGAACACTGTCATTCGTGAATCGAACATTGGTACACGTGTTTAGAAAGTTCATATTGTATAGAAATGTTCGATTTACGAATGATGACGATGTACCAATTTAGATTAAACTGGATTAGTGAACTGACGAAGCTGTAATAGCGAAATATTGAGCTAATAAAGTTACATTTTGGAGATATAGGTCTTGATTTTATTTACGTTTATAGAAATGAAATAATAACATGTTTAAAAATATTCACTAGTTTAAAATATTCATTATTTCTATCTCTCTATATTTGTATTTCCATCAGTCAGACATTCTCTCTCTCTCTCTATGTATCTAACTGGTATATATAAGTATAGAAAAATACATTTTCTCTCTCTCCTGTATCTATATATAAGTATTGAAATATTAAAGAATTACCTGAGAATATTTCAAGTAGGTTTCTCCCAAGGTCGTCTGTGACGTTGTTTAAAATCTTCCATGTGTTTGAAGTGTTAGAGGTTGAAACAGGTTCCCATCCACAGAAACTGTCATTTTCGAATGTACATGATAGTTCTTTAACTAATACTGATGAGTCTGTATGAAATCAACAATAGAGGAGTAGCTGAGAGGGTTATAATGTAAAAAAACTAAACTACAGATAGAGTTATAATGTAAGAAACTAAACTACAGATAGAGTTATAATGTAAGAAACTAAACTACAGATAGAGTTCCAGATAACTGAGAGAATAACGAGCGCGGGCCGAATAACCATTTTGTTCAATACAATGCAGTGAATACACAAAAAATAAAAACAACAAACATGTTTATTTTCCAAAAGATTATCAAAGAAGGCGACGTTAGCAATAAGATAGTTATAT